GAAGCCAAAACATTGTTGCAGTGACGATTTATCGGGCCAAAACGGACCTTAAATCCAGCCAGTGCCGCGGCCGTTTCCTTTTTCACCAGGGCAGCAGTAACACGTGGAGTTTCTGCGGCCGGAGGGACCCGAAAGGGAGGGAGCAGGTTGGGAAGGGAAAGTCTGACACAGGGCTCAGCCCGGGCTTTGTTGAAATGCCACAGGGGTGTTTACGCCGAGGCCCAGTTTTCCGGGAGGGAGGACACGCGTATCCCGTTCCCATCGCCTGGATGGGGTGTCCTCAGCAAGAAGCCGTCTCGCCCAGGACGGGGAGCGAGCGCCGGCGCTGCCGGTGAACACCTCGCCGGGCTGCTGTTGGGAACCAAAAGGTGCAGCCCAGCTGTTTGGGGATTTACGACTTACGCCAGGGCTTGAGCAAGGCTTCAGGCGGAGCCGCGGGGTCAGGCAGGGCTCCGCGCCGGCGCGGACGGCGGGAGGGAGGCGTTTCGTACAGCTGGGCGATTTATTCCTACTCACGGCCGCGCGCGGGTTCTGGAAACGTTTAAAAAAAGACCGTAAAAAGCACGTTCTTTACTCAAACCCTCAGCGCAGCGGCGGTGGCAGAGCAGGCCTCAACGTGGGAATCGCTTGTCAAACACAAAACCAACCCAAACTGTTCGGAACAAGCCACAGGGATCAGCTTTTCCCCTAAAATTAAGCGATTTCATCCATGCAGGGGGTGGGGGTACAGCCAGAGCCCCCTTTCTGCCCCCTGTGCCAACGTTCAATTCTCATCAGCCAGGGCAATTTTTGGTTTTGCTCATGGGACCCCGCACCCCGTGGGGCGGAAAACCGGGAGCAACCCGCCCCGGGAATTCACAGCGGGGACACGCTGGTCCGTGTCCCCTGGGAAAGGTAACTGGCGTCTCGAGAAGGAAGCGAGAGGGACGCCTGGTGAAATCAATCGCTGGGCGCCAGGAGAAGGTACTGTCAGAGCTGAGGACTTTGTGCCACAGGCACGAGGGAGGGAGTTTTCAAAGTGAAAAAAGAGAAAAAAAAAAATCAACTTCACAGCTCAGTCGCTTCTCAGAAAAGAAATAAACCCCCAATGGAGTAAGGGCAGCCTCCCGCGAGAAAACCCAGAAAGCCCCTTCCTTGAAAGGAAACGGCTGATCTGAAGTCAAATCAGACACATGGCCATCGGGAAACCCTCGTGTATCACAAAGTCCCCCTGGGAACAACCCTGGAAGGCCAAGCGGTGTTCATCCCAAGCTCTCCCTCCAGCCCTAGGCGAGACAGAACTGACCGGCCAGGGACAGAAGCCACACCTTAAAAGTTTGGGTTTTTTAAGTAAATAAAAAAAAAAACCCAACCCCAAACCCTTAAGACTCCTCACCTAAAGAGACAATATCCTCAAGTTCTGTGTTTTGTGTTTTTTTAAATCAAACCACTCGCATCTGTTACAAACGCAACAAGTATAAAAAAAAAATCCCAACAATCCCAAAGGAGGGGTTTTCCCCTCATTCCTGTTGCTGGTTCCTCTCCTAAATTAAACCCAGTGGCCCTGAAAAATGAAATCCTGCCTTCGCGCTCAGGAGAAGGCAGACCTTCAGGTCCTTAACTGGGAATTAAATTTTTTTTAAACTATTTCCAATGACTTGCTGACTACACGGGGCAAATAACTCCCCTTTACCAGATTGAATCGCAAGGGGCTTCCCAACGACATGATTCGGGCAGGGATCGACTGACGGAAGAGTGGAAAGGGAACGCTTCTGAAGAGGCAGCAATCCTGAGGTGCTAAAAACCAAACGGCGTCGCAGCACTGTCCCCGGCCGGGCTGCAGGCAGCCTCTCATTGCTTTGCCGATTGCCTGCCGGGTTTCTTCTCCTGCTGGCCTCTTCCGCTGCCTGGTATTCCTCGGCCGCGGCCACCGAACACACCTACGGGGCGGGAAGAAAGAGCACGGGTGTCACAGTGTCGGAGTAGGCCACTCAGAGCTTTACAGTTCTTTGTGTTTTACCCAAACACTCCCCTATTTTCTAGTCTTTGCATGGCCAGGACCTTCAGATTTTTACCCTTTAAATTGAAATCAGGGAGGTTTAGATTGGATATCAGGAGGGAATTCTTCCCGGAGAGGGTGGGAGCACTGGGACAGGTTGCCCAGAGAAGCTGTGGATGCCCCATCCCTGGGAGCGTCCAAGGCCAGGCTGGATGAGGCTTGGAGCAACCTGGTTTATGGAAGGTGTCCCTGCCCATGGCAGGGGGGTTGGAACTGGATGATCTTTAAGGTCCCTTCCAATCCAAACCATTCCATGATTCTTGCCAGTTCCAGACCCAGTGTTTACGAGGTGCATTATCCCCCCTCGCCGGGGTGTCCAGCGACCCCTCCCCGGCGCGTTACTGTGCCCTCCAGCTAGCTGTGCTATCATCCCAAACTGAGGTTAACTTCTGAAAAACGGAACAAAGGAAGAGGTACTACGCTTTGAATCCAGCGGCATGAGCAGGTTAAAGAATCACAGAACGGTTTGGGTTAGAAGGGGCCTTAAAGATCATCCAGTTCCAACCCCCCTGCCATGGGCAGGGACACCTTCCACTAGACCAGGTTGCTCCAAGCCTCATCCAGCCTGGCCTTGGACACTCCCAGGGATGGGGCATCCACAACAGCTTTACAGGGACACGGCAACGAAGAGGGTGACTCGGTTGGAAGACTGCTCTGCTACAGAACAGGAAAAAATACACCCCTTTTGTCACCGCCTCGCTGCGGGACAGAGCGATTCACCGCTCCAGAGAGGGCAGCGGGTACAGCACTGAGGAGACAGGCCATGAAACCCCCTGCTCCTAACCCCACAGGCCTCGGGATGCTCGCAGGGCCCCGGCTGCTCCCGGGGAAGCTGAGCCACGAGTGCCGTACTTCTGCATCTGGCAAGCCGGGAAGTAAGAGACGGAGGATTACCAGCGTCAGAAACAATAATCCTTTCAACTGTGTGCACAATTATAGCTTTCCTTCTGCCTGCTGGCCTCTCAACAAAATTGCCTTGCCTTTTCCCACTCCCCCCTCCCCCCTCCCTTCATGTCTCGGTAATGAGAGCCAAACCTTTTTAACTAATTAGCAAATGCCGAAGCTTCCCTTTAAAATATTCCATCAGCGAATTTAAGCCGCACATCAAAACAGCAGGGAACTCCACCTCAAACTGAGCTCAGCTCTCCACAAGGTGGATATTTCCACAGCAGAGAAAATATTTCAGCTAAAATGTTTGTCCAAACGACCGTATCCAAAAAAGCTGTTATGCCAAACGCTTTGGACACTGAAACGGGAAGGAGGAAAAATAAAGGCGCCTTCAGATTTGTAAAGGTCACTACTGCATGCTCGGAGCTTCCAGGAGGTAGCAGGAGCAGCAGAAATCACTGGATTTCCCCCCCACACACACGTCCCTGGGAGTCGGAGACACCGCGCGTCGCAGCGTGGCGTGACAGCCCCGGGTAGGTCTCCTTGCATAGTCAAAAAGCGGGCAGCTTGTTAAGGGTGCTCTGCAGAGAGACTGCCTGTCGGTGTCTCAGTCCCCACGGCTCCTTTTAAAACCTAAATTCCTGGGCCAAACCCTATTTTGTTGAGCACACTCAGGATTTTAAGCTCCTACTGCAGGCTAAGCCTGTACCGGGAGCAACCCCAGGGCTGAGCATGAGCGAATCGCAAAGGGTTGGCAGGAGGGGGGAGCAGGAGAGAAGTGGCTCTCGGGCTTCCAGCAGGACAGTTTGGGGAGGAAGAAGAGCAACACATCCCCAAGCTGAAGGGCTCCGGGATCGCTCAACCCCGTGAAGCGGGACAGGGAAGGAAGAGCTGTTTTGGTGACCTATTTCTTCCGAAGTGGCAACCTCCCCTTTTATCAGAAAGGTCGAGCAGGAGGAACACAAGCCCTCAGATATTTTTTTTAATCAAAATAAATAAATCAAGTCAGGAGATCAAAAGCCTCATTATAATGGGAGAAAAGATGTTTTTCTATCACTGCCGTGGTCAGAGCCCAGTCTATTTGCAAACAGAACAGCCGTCTGTCTCCTTCCCACACTTGCTAACAGCCACCAGTTTTGCAGGGCCATGCTCCCACGTTAGCCAGGAGGGGTAGAAACAGTCAAGTTCAGACTCTCTTAAGCTCCTGCCCAACCCCAGCAACGAGGGAGGCACAGCCCTGGCACGAATCCTGTCTATTCTTTGGCAGAGGCTGGCTTACAAGCGAGGCAACACGCTCGCTCGGAAAAACCAGGAGCGGCTCCAGCTTCTCCCAAACGGTTGAAAGCTGAGAAGCGAGAGCCGCTCCTTGCACAAGAGATGAAGTTTAAAAGCAGGGATCCCACTCACCCCTCTCCGAGCTGAAAAAAGAAGACAGGATCATTACCTCGTCCAGCACTTCCAACACCACGGCCCTTCTGTTGCTTCTGCTGTTGCATCCCACCACGGCCCCTGCCCTTGGACACCACCTCTTCTTTCACCATGTCAATTATTTCATCGGGGATACGCAGGTATTTAATCGTGCTGCCACGAATGTAGCACTCCGGCATTCTCCAGAACTTGTCTCCATCCTGTTGGGGAGCAATGCGTTAGGCTACGGACAAAACCAGGTGCTTTTGTGATACTTTTGGGGTATTTGAGCATTTCCATCACTTCTGGAGAGCGTGACAGCTCCGCCAATCTTTTCCGAAAGCGTTACCTGTAATGAGCTGCAGAAAAGGGTGGGTTTTTCCCTCCAAAACACATCACCCTACAACCTGGGGGGGGAGGGCGCTCAGCCACGAGCGACAGCAGTTTCAATTTGTTCCACAACTGCCTCTAACACTCGCAGAAAATGCAGGAAGAGGAGGCTGAGCAAACAAGCACCTTCCCTTCCCGTGTAAGGAGGGAATCGAAAGCGGGATTAGAGACGCAAGGGCGGTGAAGTTACACACAACAGCTCCCAGCAATCGAGTCAGGGAGGAAAAACACAGCTGCAGCAAAGGCGTATGCGCGGCCGGGTTTCTTCTCCAGCAGCCTCAGCAGGGAGTCACCTCACTCCTTCCCTCCTCTGGGGTGTGGATGGAGCAGTGGGGCCAGTCCCCAGCCAGTGGCTGCAGGGCGTGTGCCACCACAGCACAGCAGCTGTGGAAAAAGAAGAGCTTACAGATTATATATCTAAAAACACAACTCTTCAGGTGCCCAGTTGCAGAGCAGCCTCCTCTGTATTTTGTTTGTTAGGTGTTTAATGCAGTTTTAGGGCTTTTCCAGGGCAAAACGTATCAGGGCTTCACTTCTGGCGTATGGAGGGCGGCTGTGGGAATAAGAATCGAGCATCCGAGCTCAACAACAACTCGGCTGCCCATGATGTAACTGGGAGGAGGGACAGGGACCCCGCCTCGTCCCGCTCGGCCACCACAGCCCCGTCTCGGCAGCAGCTCCGTCAGGGTTTGGCTGCAGATGGGATCGCCCGAGCCCAGCGATTCTCAAGTGGCTGCATGCAGACGAGGCGTCTCTCATGTCCCAGAAGAGCAGTTTAAACAAGAACGCCTCGTTCCTCCTTCTCTTGGGGTAAAATAGTCCTCCCCTCCCGCCCAGAAGTTATTTGGGGCAACTCTGCCTGTTCAGGCAAGTCCTTCGCGCACAAGACAAGACAGAAACAATCCTCTTCCAAAAGACACCCAGCAAACCCCACCCTGCCTTGGATCTGCCGGGCTGCTCCTTGGCTCGGGATACAGGAAGGGATGGAACCAGGCTCCCTCGCTTCCTCGTTCCGGCCTCCCCGGAGTAAACAACCGCCCCCCGCCCCGGGCCGGGGCTGCCTGTCCGGGCTGGCCCGTGCCATCTAGCGGTCAGTCGCCACCGGTACCGCCAGTAACCCCGGCAGCTCCACTCTCACCCGGGCTCTGGAGGCGTTTGGAGGCCGGGAGAGGCACAGCCGATGGAGCTCAGCTGCTTCGCTGTGTGCAAGGATCCCTCAGAGGGAATAAAACCTGAGCTGCTGCTCTTCCACAGCAGAGCACTGAGCTGTAGGAAAGGCAAAACCACTTGTGTCACGGGCACACATGCGGCTTTGCTACCCATTACCTCCTCCTCACACCCCTCCTGCTAAATTTGACAGCGGTTCCTTGCCATTTCTCCCACCCGAAGCCAAGGTGCACCCACAAATTCCTAAGCCCTGCTGCTCTGCCCCAAAGGTCCCTGTCAAACCTCGCTCAAGATGTTCACTGTGTCTTACTGACATGACAACGTGCCTCCATGCCCTGGCAACGTGGCTCAGAACTTTCCTGTTGTGAAGACAACAGGTACAGGGGTTTGCAGAGAGATTTTCAGAAGAACGAGGATCTCTGCCAGCCTCTCCCATGGAGCTCAGACATTCCG